CGCTAGCGGTTGCAATCGATTGCTAACGATGTTCTTCGATGATTTTCGAACGCAATCGATTGTCAGCGATTATAATCAATTTTAATCGCTGACAATCAATTATAATCTCTATCGATGGTGAACGATGGGGGTGTTGATAATTGATTGCCAATGGGCATGGTTATAAATCGATTGCCAACAGGTATAGAAATTTCCTGATGAAGTGAGTTTTCTTGGTGTTTCTAAACTATCTAACCTACTGGTCAGGTTTTGAAGTACAGTTATAAGCTGAGTAAGATCAGTTGTTGATCTGTTTTGAATTTGATAGTATATGGTAGTTGACTTTTCTGAGTTGGTTTCTTTAACAGTTTTAGTCACATGAATGATGTTTGGCAGTGTTCCATCAGCATTTATTCTAATTTATTTACAAATTTCTAATTTCAAGTCTCACTTATAGGTTCCAGTTTTGTAATCATCTGGATAAGCATCAGTAGAATCTACTTTCTTTAAGAGGGTATTGAATCGATTAGTGTATTTATCTATGCTTTCAGTTTGTTGAAGAGTTTCAAATTTATTTTGCTATTGTTCAATTTTACGAGAGGTGCAGAATTTTAAGACAAAGTAATGTTTGAAATTATGTTCATTATTTGCAACATTTGTCTAGTTAGTTAAAACAAAAGCATTGTTGACAGCTCATTGATCAAATCAAGTAGCAGCAGCATCTTCCAAGTATCACGTACTATTTGAATTTTATGAATATCAGTAACTCCATTGGTAGTGACAGCAACTTCAAAGTCTCTGAGTCATTCAATAGGATCTTAATCATCACCCTTGAATTTGCAAATTGAAATATGATTTTTCTCAGCTCTTAGTCCAATAGTGATGAAATCATCTGAATAAAAATTTTAAAATAACAATATTTTATAAACTAGAAATAATATAAATATAAAATATTAAAATTAAATTTGCAATCAATTATATTATTATAATAACTAATTAAAATTAAATACAGTATCTGACAAAAGTATTTCTGCTAAAGATTGTATCTTAATTAATTGTGATTGTGATATTCAATCAGAGAATTGCAATTAATTACAACAATCAATCAGAGAATTACAATCAAGTTGCAACCAATTTAAAGATGGTCTCCTAAATTATTTTTGGAAAAAATGGTATTTTGGCAAATAATTCAGTTTTGCTATGTTGCTTATATTAATGAATACTTAAAAACCACCTAGAAATGCTTGTTTTGATTTGTAGAATCCAAATAATTTCGGAAAACAATTTCGGCTACTAATAAAATAAGTCATAATAATTTCGGATTTAATTTCGGCAAGTTAATTTCGGCAAATTATTTAATTAGATGACGTCATTTCGGCAACCATCCTTAAACCAATTGTAATCCCATCTTTAATTCTTATACTGATAATTTTGATTGATCATGTGTAGATTACTGAAATTTTATTACATAGTTCATATACATCACAAATACTGATCATTTATACCTTTTTATTGATTAATAGATTTTATATTGGATATTGCATGTTTATAAACTTTCATACTCCAAATACAATAAATCAGTTACTTTAGGATATAATATCTCAACATCCAGTGATCTAATTTGAGCGGAATCATTATCATTTGATTTGTCTAACCTAGACAAATCAAATCATGATATTTTCACTCAAATTGACTTACTGAATATCAAAATATTGCATATTAAAGTGACTGATTCATAATTTGTTGATCAATTTTTCATTAAAAATTGATTATCTAAAAATGAATCGAACGTGTGATATATACATGTATATATATCTTGATCTTCAGTAATTCTATTCGAACAAAAATAATATCATTTAATTTGTCTAGTCAAGGCGAATTGAATGGTATTATTTTTATTTGACTCAGTTTACAGAAGATCGAGATATCACGTCCATTTTTGTTAATATCAAAAAAATGAATCTGCTACTTTAGGATGCAATATTTTGACACCTAGTGATCTGATTTGAACAAAAATAGTTCTGTTCGATTTTTCTCGACTAGACGAATCGAATAATAATATTTTTGTTCAAGTTGGATTATTGGATGTCAAGAATTAGATTATTGGATATTGAGATGTGTGTTATGAAATGACTGATTATATTTGGAATGCGAAAGCTTATGAATATCAATGATCAGCATTTGTGATATTTTTTATGCTTAAAAAATTTCAGAACATTACACATAATTTTCAGAAAGTTATTCGGAGTTAGTTACTTATGCTGGAAACTATAAATATTTCAGCAGTTGTAGTGAGCATGCATCATTACCATTATAAAAATTTTTATTAACCTCAGCCATCTTACTAAATTATGTAACAGATTATTTTTGTATTATTTGTGAAAATCAGTTGTGTAAATCTTTATGCTCAAAAAAGTTTTATCCACTTTCTGGAATGTTGAAAATTTTGCCATTCAATAAAATGATCTAGTTTTGATTGTAAATTTATTTACATAATACTTTTCAATAAAGACTTGCTATATCTGTGATTGAGTGATTGTAAAATCAAACGCAGCATATAACAAAGATTTATGTACTTCTACACGTGGTTACCTAATAGAAAATTCCATTTTAAGATGTAATATCCAAGAAAAAATAACTTTAAAGGATATTTGCTAAGTACATGTATTATCTAGCATCCTCTTTTAATAAATATAATGCTATATATAAATAAAAATCAGCTTCTCTTCGTGAAGCTTCAAAAATAAAGGTAAAAAGATATCTTGGAGTACGTAAATATTTCAGCAGTTATTTGTATATTAGAGTAGTGAGCATGCATCATTACCATTATAGAAATTTTTATTAACCTCAGCCATCTTACTAAATTAACAGGTTATTTTTGTGTTATTCGTAAAAATCAGTTGTGTAAATCTTTATGCTCAAAAAAGTTTTATCCACTTTCTGGAATGTTGAAAATTTTGCCATTCAATAAAATGATCTAGTTTTAATTGTAAATTCATTTACACAATACTTTTCAATAAAGACTTGCTATATCTATAATTGAGTGATTGTAAAATTAAACGCAGCATATAACAAAGATTTACGTACTTTTACACGTGGTTACTTAATAGAAAATTCCATTTTAAGATGTAATATCCAAGAAAAAATAACTTTAAAGAATATTTGCTAAGTATATGTATTATCTAGTATCATCTTTTAATAAATATAATGCTATATATAAATGAAAATCAGCTTCTCTTCGTGAAGCTTCAAAAATAAAGGTAAAAAGATATCTTGGAGTACGTAAATATTTCAGCAGTCATTTGTATATTAGAGTAGCGAGCATCATTACCATTATAGAAATTTTTATTAACCTCGGCCATCTTACTAAATTAACAGGTTATTTTTGTGTTATTCATGAAAATCAGTTGTGTAAATTTTTATGCTCAAAAAGTTTTATCCACTTTCCGGAATGTTGAAAATTTTGCCATTTAATAAAATGATCTAGTTTTGATTGTAAATTCATTTACACAATGCTTTTCAATAAAGGCTTGCTATATCTGTGAATTGAGTGATTGTAAAATCAAACGCAGCATATACATGTACATGTAACAAAATATTTACTTTTACACGTGGTTACCTAATCAGAATTCCATTTTAAGATGTATTAATCTAAGAAAAATATATTTAAAGAGTATTTGCTAAGTATTATTCAGCGTCTTCCATCCTCTCTTTTAATAAATATGGTGCTATATATAGATGAAAGTCTCCTTAAATCATCTTCTCTTTAAGAGACTTTAAAACTAAATGACAATCTCCTTAAATTATCTTTTACTGATGGCCTTACTCCTGATGAGGCTTTAAAAATGCTTAAAAATATTATCCCTAAACAGCAAAAAATAGTCAAAGAAGCTGCTGCTCAAAATACCAATCCAACTGATTTAATTGATGTCATTAATAAAGATATCGATCAAAGTACTGGAAAACAGAAGAAATTCGTTACTGTAGACAATTCCCTAATCGATAATAAAAAAGTTTGGACATCTCATTGGAAAGAGATATGTTCTTCTGGTGACTAATTCAAAAGAAAATGCAGCAGATTTATCTACTTTTTCCAGAAACCATTATAAAGTTACTCTTCCATATCTGAAGAACGAAAATATTATAATTAAAAAGAAAAAAGTATTGTTGACAATAATTAATGATGTAAGCTTATATATCCATTATTGTGTATATGTTTAAATAAATCTTTTTTCTCAAACGCTTAATGATTTTTACTAAAAAAAATAGAATGTTAAATCATTTCAAACAAAGTCCAAGCAAAATGTTGAAAGCTTTGAAAATTATCAAAAGGATCTTAACAACTTCTGCGTCAAATATCGTGATTGGACCAAAGAACAACTTGACAAAACTGATCTCACTATCGAGCAGATAAAAACTAATATCATAACGTTGGAAAGCGAAATTTCAATCTATCAGAACAAAATTATAGGACTTGGTATCAGAACTGGAGTTGGAGCCTTTATTAGTGTTTCTGGATTAGGATTATCTGTGGCTACTGGACCAGTTGGACTTATCAGCTTTGGAATTGCTGCTCTTATAGACAGTTTAGCCACAATCAGCTGTGGTGTTGCATTGGACGTTATTCTCAATAAATTAGCAGGTAAAAAGCATTTATTATATTCTTTAATAATAAATCAATTCACTTAAATTAATTTTATTCCATGTTCTTAAGCTGCCCAAAATGAGCTGAGTGCAGAACATTACAAATTAGACCAACTTATAGTTCAAAAAGATCATATACAATAGGCAGCTACACTATCTAATGAACTTGAAACATCAGTGAAAGATTTTTGTATAATTATTCATGTTATTTCTACAACTTGAATAATTATTAACGCCCAATTAGAAAAATTTTTTGCTACCAAAAATTTAAATTTTCAGTTTTACCAGATGAACCAGAGGAGTATGAACATCTTGTAAACCTTTGAACTGCTTTTGCTAATGGTTTGAATAGATATATTGCAGATATTTAGTAAGAGAGCAATAGATTAAATTCTTTCTTTGTCTAGCAAACTTTTCAATTTTATGTTTAAAAAATATTTTTTATCGATCAATAAAGCAATGGATCGAAAGAATTACTTTCATTTTTATAAATAGTTTGAAGCCTCTTAAATTATTGGTAAACTGTTAAAATTATAATCAAAGTGGTGTTATGACACAGGATGATCTGTAAATGTTAAATAAAGTTTTCTAAGAAATGTCTTCATTTCATCGCATTTACTTTATAAGCTTACTGTACTTGAAATTTAATACTTTAACTTGAGAAAAAGATTAATCTATTATAAATATTCAATTTAAAATATACTTATCTGGATGATAATAGTAATTTATAAAGAGAATAAAGCGAAGAAAACATTTGTTCGATTAATAATAAATCTATTAATTTCTGATTGGCTGCAAAGTATTGGATTTATGATAAGCTATTATTGGATTGTAAAAGGAAAAATAATTGAGAGTAGTAAATGATGTGATACTCAAGAAGTTATTATTAATATCAAAGATGTTGCTTCTGGTAAATATATGTATTTTTAGTTCATTCTGACTTCTTTTATCTTATGTATTGCTACCATTTCTAGTTCTTACGTATGAGAATATTTAGAAATGGTTAACAGCGACTGTGTTCATGGCAGATTTT